AGTTCAATATGATTGGATCCAAGGTTCGTAATTGTTGATTATAGATTGGAATGAATAGAGAAAAAAAAAATCTGCTGCAAAAATTTAATAAACTTTCTAAATTGAATTTTTGTTTTTACGAGTTAGCTCTATAGCATTAAAAACGAAGAGAATATAGGAGAATGCGATTAAAAAGAGTAAAAAGAAATGTATAATACAATAATTTGTGTTTACCTTGATCTAATGGAAATTATTAACAACAAAAAGCTTAGTACTAAACACATATAATTAAGTTAGCGAGGGACTACCTCCAATTATCTCTTAATTATCTTTAACACATTCTATTCACTATTCACTTAAAATAATATATAAATGATTTGGACTTTGAACAAAAGAAGACCAAATTAATTTTCTTACAGACTAGAGAGTTGAAACTAGTTCCCAACACTAATGAAATTTTTTTGATAATTCCAATGAAACCAAACTCCAATCATGTTCACATCATTATTACACTGATTCATTTTCATTAAATGTCAAAATATCCAACGAGGATTTAATAAAAAAAAAAGTCCAATTGCACCTGACTTTAAAGCTAAATTTACCTTTTTCTCCTGGCCAATAAACAAGCAAGACAAAAAGTATAAAGAAGCTCCAAATCTTTTTTCTTCTTTTTTAAAGGAAAAAATAAAATAAAAAAAGAAAAAGAGAAAAGAAAAAAACACAAAAACAATTCCAACAACAAATGGATGCTGTCAATGCGTCAGCCCCCACTTTGCCCTTTTTCTCACAAAGTAAAAAAAAAAACTATATATATATATATATATATATATATATATATATATATATATATATATAATTTTTTTTTTCTCCAAACCAAGAAAAAAATTCCACCCCCCATTACCATGTCCCATTTGGTAAAAAAGAATATAATATTATCATTCGTGTGAATTTGCATTCACATCACCCTAAACTATGGCTATTTAGCAACACCACCCCAAATATTTGAAATTTTGGCATGAACATCCCTCATTCATGGGGATGATAGTTGGAATGGAAATTTTAATATCGCATATTTCGATACAGAAAATTTCGATTTTGGAATACTGTTTTTCATTCCGAATTTTACAATTATGGTTTTCAGTTCTTCTGAAATACTTTGGATCGAAGTTGGAATATATAAGAGATTTTGATTTTGGGCGCGATTAAAAAAAACTGAAATTACATTTAAGATATCAATATTATTAGGTATTCTATATTTTAGGTGATCGAAATTGAAAAATTTCCAATTCCACTAATTCAAATACAAAAAAAAAAAAAATCGATTTTGCAACAAGTTTTTTCATTTAAATTTTCAGAATTACGATTTATGATATTTTTTGGAACAAAATTAGGATTTATTTCACTTCCGGAAAAAAAATGGGTTTTTTTCTTCGGATATGGCTACTTCCTATCCCGTCCGATTACCCGTAGTTATACATATTGGACCTAATCAAAATTAGAAAATTATGACAAATTCAAAATAAACTTTGTAGGTTTCATTCGACATTCTAAAATCTGCAGTGATAACTATTTTTTCCTTCCATTTTTTTTTGAATGAAAATGCTAAATTTAATTTGATTTGAGTGTTCCAATTTTCACCCTAAATGTAGTAAAAGAAAAAAAGAAAAATCATATACATAAAGTATTACTGAAAAAATCGACGCAGGGGAATAGTTGCTAAATTAATATAATTCACGGGAGATGAATGTTAATATCTGAATGCTCGTTTAGTTAGTAAGATAAGTCATGATTAATTAAATAAATTAGGTCTTATTAGATGTTTGGTTACTTCACCAACTTTTTTGGCAGCTCAACAATAATTCAAAAAAAAAAATCCTCTAATCACGAATAATTGAAAAATCATTTATTGAACTATTATGTTCTCCTAAAATTACTTATCTTTGCTAATCTTATCTTAGAAAACAAACGAGGTCTAAATATTTAAGGACGTGGTTGTCAAAAAAAAAAATAGTTAAGGGAGGTGGAAAAGCAAAGTTTCAAATATTTAGGGTTTTGGTGCAAAACAGCCAATAGTATAGGGACGTTGATGCAAATTATATCCTAAATAGATAGATACATGCAAAAAAGTGTGTGTATAGTATAATATAGAAAATAGATACACGATTTGTCCAGTATAGAGAGGCGTGCGACCATAATATATAAATAGGCACACCACAGAGTTGCTTCCATTTGTATACTATTTACCCCTTTTGTTTTTGTTCCTTCCTTTCTTCCTTCCTTCCCTTCATACGTGCACTTCAGATTCCCCTTACTTTCTCTCTCTTCTTTCTCTCTCTTCTTTCTCGCTCCTCTCTCCCTCTCTTAATTTTCAGACCAACCTTCATTCCAACATTAAATCTTGTCCTAATCTTTACTAATCCCTGTTTTTTTCTTTTTTTTTTTTTTTTCTTGAACCCATATATTAAATTAGTTTATTAAATCTCGGGTTGCCTCAAAATTGTGTGATCTGGTGCATGTTTTAATGGCGAGCTCGAGTGGGACCCACAAAGAAGGGGGCGGGGGCGGGGTCGGGGGCGGGGGTGGGGGTAATAAGAAACATGGTACAGCTGTAACAACTTCATCATCTTCTTACAGTGGAAGCTTGCATGGTGGAGAATGGGGTGTGCCAACTTTCCAGCATCAGCAGAATATTTCTATGGACTGGACACCTGAAGAACAAGTCATGCTGGAAGAGGGTTTGGCTCAGTGAGTTTTTTTATTAAATTTAATTAATTTATTTCAATTTTTGCTGATTTTCTTGATTTTCTTTTTTATGTAATTTTTGCTGATTTTGGTTGATTTTATTTTATTAATATTTTTTTTTTTGAATTTTGGATCCGATGGGGTAGTTTGATTTGATTTGATTATTGGAGAAATTGAACAGAAAATGTTGCATGTGATTTTGTTGATTTTGTAGTTTGAATTTGTTTCGACTTCGATTAATGATTCTTGATTTTGGATTTTGGATCCCATGGGGTAGTTTGATTTGATTTGATGATTGAAAAGATTAAACATATAATGTTGTTGCATGTGATTTGGTTTGATTTTGTTTCGATTAATGATTCCGGTTTTTTTTTTCTTTTTCTTTCTGAAATTGAGTTTCCCTTATGAGTTCTTTCGCAGATTTGTTCGTATAGTTGCCATTTCTTCTGTCGAAGTAAAACAATGATTTCGATGAAACATATGATCGAGATTGAAAATCGTGTTTTTCTCCCGATTGAAGTTGCTTTGATCTAATCGTTATAGGGATTACACTCTATATTTCGATTTCCATTATGTTTTCCTGAAACTGATTTGTTAATGGAGTTTGATTTTCGGGCCGGGCCGATGCTACTTTCGATTTGGATGTTGGGGGGGGGGGGTGGGAAGGGGGGGGGGGGTAAGTAAGTGGGAATGGGTAAGTAAAAATGTTCTTTGAAAGGCCCGTTCTGTTCTGCCCCGGGTTTTGGCTGTCTAATTAATAATCTTTCTGGAAAAAATACTAAGGAAAATTTTTTAATGACAACTCCTAATTATTATTGCAACGAAAATTAATTTCGATTTCATTTAATTTAATCCATGTAGTAATTAAGGCCACATCCTCCCTTATCTGTCATAATTGTTTTTAGGTATTGAAGTCTTTGTCGGTGTACATACTTGGTATTAAGATCGAGTGACATTATTTTGATTAGAGAAACATACTACGAAATTAAGCATCTATAATAATTTCGTAATTTTCATATTTTCGATTTTTTATTTTCTGTTTAGTAAATAATCCATTGTTTTATCGTCTGTCAACATCTATAGGTATGCGTCCGAGTCGAACATTATCCGGTACGCAAAGATTGCAGTGCAGCTGAAGAACAAGACTGTGCGTGACGTGGCATTGCGCTGCAGATGGATGACTGTGAGTTCTTTCATCATAGTAATTCTTTAAAAAAAAAATTAATTGCATTTTTTGTTATCGAAATAGTCGATTTCGACTTTCGATGAAATTATTATTGGGTTTTGGGGAGATAGTCAAGATTATTATGAGTTATCGACGACTTGATTTACGTAATGTTTACTTTAGTGTAGTTATTTTGAGTGATCGGTTCAAAACTATGCAGAAGAAAGAGATTAGCAAGAGACGTAAGGACGACTTCAATGCACGGAAAATTAAAGACCGAAAGGTAACTACTTTTCCTCAACTTCATTCTCTATTTCAACCCGTAGGAATCGACTTTTATACGTTTATTTCGATATGAGGTTGATCAATTAAATTTTGTTTTTATTGCCATACATGACACAAGGTAGCCAATTTCACTTTTTAATTTTCAAGTCGCGTAATTTTTACTATAAATGTCACACCTAAAGTATGTGGACCTTCGCAGTGGCGGATCCTATATAAGGCTAGGGGGGGCCATGGCCCCCAACATTTCTCGAAAACAAAGTATTTTATGTAGATACTTGTTATTTTTCGAAATAGTGTTGCAATTAAATTGTATGTTTTGCCGCCTCAAAATAAAATAATTTTTTGTTAAGAATTAAAAATATACTTTAGTCTTCATATGCTTATTGACTTAGACACGATACATATATATTTTTTTTAATTATGGTTTGTGGCCGATTAGTTACTATTACGAGTCAAAATCGAATAAATTGTTGATTTATTTTTGTCAGGAAAAGGTTATAATTAACGATTCTTCTTCGGTGAAACCTTCTCGCTTGGCAATCCAATCGTCGGGTTTATCTCACGCTCCGGGAATTGTTTCTAATTGCAACGATGACATCATCTCCTACAATGGTTCGCTCATTATCTGAAGCATTAGATTAATGGTTTCGATTAGCATTCACAAAGTATTATTTTATTTTATTTTCGCTATTAGCATGAATTATTTTTTTTATAATTAACTTACTTTTTTATAACTAACTTACATGCTCGCATACAAAATTCGTAACAATTCGATTTTTGTAGTATCATATAGGCCACATGATAAGTCATTTTGTGTGTTTTCAAAGGATTTTACTAATGAACTCCAACTGCGTATTTTTTTATTTAATATCATCATGTTGTGCAATTGGCCTTTAATTTGTATTTGTATGAAAAATATAAAATGTAACCAAAAGTGAACTATTAGAGTTCTGAAGAACTGTAAAATGAGACCACAAGTTTGCAGAAAAAAATGTATCAAAATGTCTTTAGACCTAACAACTACTATAAACTTTTATTCGATTGAGATTTCATATTTCTTCGACTCTTGAATTTGTCAACGTAATGATAACCATTAGAGTTAAAATCAAGAAGAAAAAAAAAATGAATTTATGCCTCGTTTGGTTAGGGAGATTAGCTATTATTAACTAAATAATTGGACTATGTTCGATGTTTGGTATCCTCAATAATTTACCAGAAAATATTATACTATCATGGCTTATCTTGCTTTATCTTGCCTCTTAGGGAGATTTTTTGTTTGAAGTTATGGGGTCCAATAAAATAATTGGGTTTTCATTAGATTATTTAATCTTATCTGTGCAACCAAACGTGGCCTTAATGTAATAGATATTCAATTTTATAGAGCTAATAAATCACAATATAGACTCTTCGACTGAGTAAATTACTTCTATGTAATTACTGTAATTTGATTATAGATTTAGATCATATAAACAGCCCGCAGTAAACATCTTTCTTGAATATCCGGAAATTCATTTCGGTATTTAAAAAAAATCGTAAATATTAACTTATTCTACGTATGCAGATATAGACGGGGCCACAAGGCAGCTTCTTCAGCAGAATGCATGGACTTTTAAACAAATATCCACAAATCTTGCCACTCATCAGGTTAAGCTTTTATTTCATTATTTTGTATTTAGTGACAATAGATATAACTTATGTATGTATACTTTACTTAATTATGTTCAATTTTTTGTTATTATTATTATAAGGGCTTGTAAGTGATGTACGTTCCCCCGATCTTGCTCTCGTGTTTTTGTTTTTCAGATACGCGAAAACATTGGGTTTTTGGGTCAAGCTCGAGATAACATCTTTAGAATATTGACCAAGTACGTAATCCAATCTCTCGATTATTACACGATTTTCATAATGCATTCTTGAAATAATGTATTTAATTTATCCTAATGGCGCTAGTAAACTAAAAGTCCGTTTTTTTTTGTTTTATTTATTTGTTTTGTGCAGCTTGAACGAGATGGGACCGACGATGAAGAAAATGCCGCCGCTTCCTAAGGTGAACGAAGAATTAGCGAACTCGATTCTTCCTCCGCTGAGTTTCACAATCCAATGATAATCGAGCCTTCGAATGAATATGTAATTTACTTATATATTCCAAAGAAAAAAAAGTACTGTTGACTGAGTTCGGGCTAACAACAAAGGTAAATAAAATATTTATCTTTGTTATTTCAACTTTTGTCGGGGAAAATATTATTATTATTATTTCTTTTTAACCTTATATAATTCCTAAAGTTTTGGTTACTTCATGGTAGAGAGTAACAAGGTATATCAGTTGTAAACCATTACACCCTGAAAAAAGAGAGTATGGATATTCTGAATTTTGTAGCTTTGTAATAACTTGATCTCTCTTTTTTAAGGTTTAATTTTATAAAATTATAAATATAATTTATGTATACTAGTTTATTTCATGTCCTTACTTTCGTAATTTGGTGAGAGGTTGGGGTTCGAATCCGTTTGCGTTCGTGTTTTTGTATTTCTTATCATGAAAAATATATTGGGTTATTGGTTAACTCTTGAGTTATAGGCACAAAAGTAGATAATTTGTATATAAGCTCTTCTTTATTATGCATGCAATCATAATATCAATAATATATTCATATTAAACTATAATATTTTTTTAGATAAACCATATAGGGGTGAGCATGGATCGGTTCGGTTCGGTTTTTGGCAAAAACCGCTTATGAACTAGAAAAATTCGGTTTGTATGAAATAAAAACCAATACTATCGGTTTTAGTTCGATTTCTTTCGGTTTCGGTCCGTATTTCGGGTTTTTTCGGTTTTTGGTTTTGAATTTTCTCTTCTTCGGTTTGGTTTATCTTCTTCTCCTTATGCGATGTAAAGTACTAAAGTGTAGTAATTTTATAATTTGATATTTAAGTGAAAGAAATTAAAAACTTCAAATTTCTAAAATAGAAAATCCAATTTCAAATTAGTTATCATTTGGCTGCAAAACCAATTTTACATGTAGGTTCTCTAATGCATATAATTACAAACACATAATGTAAACAATGCAACCATATTTATGCTAACCACTTTTTATATGTATTGTTAGAATCCGAGAGGATTCTAATTTCGGGTTTTCAACACGTGTGTGAAAACCGTGTATAAAAACTAGGGAAGTTTCCTTAGTTCTTTAAACTCTTATTTTGTCATTAATTTATTTAATTGCCTAAGTGTTTTGTTTAACAAGGAATTTTATTTGGAAAAGAATTTCCTTTGTTATACAACTCTTTGTTTCTTACGTGAGATAAAATAACCTAATGGGCTCCACTTTTGTGTAGGGCTCTACTAATTCACCTAAGGAAGTATAAGAAGGGCAGCATCAACGTAATTGAAGACCGTCCCTTTTATTTGAGAGAAAATTTATTTTCTGCTCTTCACGTTGCTGCTCTTGTGTTTGATCGTAATCGAGAAGAAAAACAGAGTAACAGATTTGCTTCTTTCACGCGAAAAGAAGATCGGTTCTTCGGGAGGAGAACTCAGAAGATCTCGGGAGGAGGTCGACCCGCCGACTGAGGGACTCAGCGTTGAAGGAATTTCAACCGTGCGGATCAAGGGACGTGCTGCAAAGTGAAGATTGTTAATTCAGCGTAGTATACAAGAACGGCGTCGACAAAGAGGGAGTCTTTGCATTTCGATTAAGTCCTATTATTGTATTCGTAAAACTAAAAATTAGTAAATTTCATTTGCAGGTCCCCGTGGATGTAGGGTACAATTGTATCCGAACCACTTTAAAATTTGTGTCTTTTTATTACTGTTCCATTAACTGTTGCAACTCTTCGTAAAACAGTAGAACCGTATTTAAAACTGAATCTGGAATTCATCGGACACAAATATATAATTAATTTGCACGAAATAATTCTAAAAATTGGCATCAAGAGCCTGTCACTAAATACATCTAGTGAGATTTTGGGAACTAACTATTCTTATTTTGTGCAAATATGAATACTCAACGAGAAGGATCGTCAACTACTCGCCCACCTCTCCTAATCGGATCAAACTACTCATATTGGAAATCAAAAATGAAGATGTTTATCAAATCCATAGATGAGAGAGCATGGCGCGCCATCATAACTGGTTGGACACCTCCCATGGTCAAAGGAGAAGACAAAATGGAAGTTTTCAAACCAGAAGCAGATTGGAGTGACGTAGAGATACTACTCGCAAACTACAACTCAAGGGCCCTAAACGCAATATTTAGTGGTGTTGATGATAATCAATTTAAACTAATAGCGTCATGTGAATCAGCTAAAAGAGCTTGGGAAATCCTTCAAGTCACATACGAAGGAACGTCAACTGTGAGGACGTCGAAGTTACAAATGCTGGCCACCAAGTTCGAAAATTTGAAGATGGAAGAGAATGAGACGATCACTGACTTCCATGCTAAATTATGTGATATCTCCAATGAATCATATGCACTCGGTGAACCTTACTCTGAAAGCAAATTGGTGAGAAAGGCGATGCGCTCATTTCCTGAAAGATTTGCTTACCGAATTGCTGCCATTGAAGAAGTCAGAGATGTTGACACGCTCAAACTAGACGAACTCATGGGGAAACTTCTGGCACAAGAACTCAATCATGGTGAAAATCATCGTGAAAAGCCTAGAGAAAAGAAGATAGCCTTTCAAGCAGAAACTTCATATGCAACACCCCAAAATTCGTCAACTCAAGAAGATGAGGAGACGGTAGAGGAATCCTTGGCAATACTATCGAAAAATTTTGGGAAATTTCTCAAAAAAATCGGTAAAAGGGGAAATCTTCCAAGCACAGGGAAAACCGTGAACTTTCAAAATTCGAGGAGAAATTCAAATCAAGATAACTCAGAGGAGTCAAAACCAAGAAGAATACAATGTCGAGAATGCGAAGGCTTTGGTCACATTCAATCAGAATGCGCAAACACCCTGAAGAAAAAGAAGAAAATGTCACTTACTACTGTTTGGAGCGATGAAGAAGAATCTGATGATGACCAAGGAAACAACGATCAAGTCACTAACTTTGTAGCATTCAGCAGCAAAGTTCCTCTGGACAACTCAGAATCAACTGTTGCTTCAACTGTTGCAACAGACTGTGAAACAGAATCCAGGTATGAAAATATGTGTTCTGATTATGACAAAAATCTAAACGAAAATTCTTCTTTTGCAGAGGATCCGAACAGCAGCAGTGATGAGGAAGAACCAACCTTGGATGAAGTAAAGGAGGTATATGAAAAAATGTACCAAAAATGGCTCGACGTCGTTAAGGTAAATAACTTCCTGGAAAAGGAGAAGTTTGTGCTTGTAGAGAAAAACAAGACACTAAAGGTAAGAATCTCTACTCTTGAGGAAAGGATCATATCTAGTGATCAAGAGAAAAATAGTTTGCAGGCTAAACTTACTCAAACTCAAGAAGCAATTGCAAAATTGAACTTGGGTAGAGGTAATCTAGATGAAATCTTAAGCAACAACAAGCCAAACTATAATCGTCTAGGCATAGGAGGGAGTCAGCTACCCAAAGTTGATCTAAAGCGAAAGGAAGATCAAAACAGAAAAATCAACTTTGTTAAACAAGCTTCTGTCTCACAAACAGTTGCAACTGTTGAAGCAACGAAACACAATTCAAAGAAAAGGTTTATTCCCACTTGTTTTTTCTGTCAAAATCCAGGTCACATACGTCCTAGATGCTTCAAATATTTAAAACTTGTGAAAAAGCTTGTGGCTCGTTCTCTTTACTCTGCTAGGGCTGATTATTTTCCTTCACCCTCTCAAAAACCCAAAAATAAAATTGATATTTCCAATAGACCTCAGCAAAAAATTTGGGTTGAAAAGTCCACGTTTAAATGCTTATCTGCGATTACCTCTTTAAAAGCAAGTACTACTAATGATTGGTATTTTGACAGTGGGTGTTCACGACATATGACCGGTGTTAAAGAGTTTCTGAAAAACTATCAACAAATCACCGGTGGAGCTGTTACCTTTGGAAACGGAAAAAATGGTGAAGTGCTAGGGAAAGGATCGCTAAATCATGAGAATCTCCCAAAGCTGAAGAATGTACTACTTGTAGAAGGACTCACGTCAAATCTAATAAACATCAGCCAGCTATGTGATCAAGATCTTGAAGTCAGATTCAACAAATTCGCATGTCGAGTATTAGACAAAGACGAGAATTGTGTTATTCAAGGAACTCGATCATCTGACAACTGCTATATTCTTGTCTCTGCTGGACCACTGGAAGAGGAACCAACAAAGGAATTGGAAAACAGCTCCAGTGTCGCACCAACAGTTCCAACAGTTGATGCAGCCTCTACCATTTCAGAAGAAAGAGACGTCAATTCTGAAACAGGAGACGAAGCTGAAGTCAGGTCTCTCGAATTGGATGATCAAACTCACAAGGAACCCTCAAGAAGAGTCAAGAAGAATCATCCAGTGGATCAAGTCATTGGTTCGGTAGAAAAAGGAATTCAAACCCGAGGCTTTAGCGATGCTGGTTGGGCAGGTGATGCAGACGATCGAAAAAGCACAACTGGAGGATGCTTCTATCTTGGGAACAATCTCGTGTCCTGGTACAGCAAAAAACTCCTATGGATGAGACAACTCTTATGGATGAAACAAATGGTATGTGATTATGGTATTAGTCAAGATTTATTGCATATTTATTGTGACAATATGAGTGCAATTAATATTTCCAAGAATCCAGTACAGCACTCTCGAACTAAGCATATTGAAATTCGCTACCATTCCATTAGAAATCTTGTAGAGGAAGGAACTGTCTCATTAGAGTATGTCACAACGGAGAAACAACTTGCTGACATCTTTACTAAACCCCTAGATGCACAAAGGTTTCATTCCTTGCGAAATTCGCTTGGAATTTGTATTGTCTGACCTGTGCAGTTGCATAAACTGTTGCAACAGTCTGTGTCCAGACTTGCAACTTTTAAAAGTTTTATGGACACATCACGCATACTGCATTTTGTTCATCTAGGTTATGCATTAGACATACTGCATGTGATGAGACCTCTTGTGTATTGGATACTATCTGTACTTTCAAATTTTGTGAGGTAGAACTTCATCAATCCCCAAATGATAGCTACAGAGGCTTTAGCTTATTTACTACCCTTCACATTCCTGTCATGGTTGAACACTCTCTTAAGGAAAAGCTGCCGCTCCAAATGAGTGAAAGCTACTCTTGAATTTTCGTAAATTCTATATATATAATGTCAATCAATTGGTCTGTGAATAGTTCGAAGCCTTTTTGAGTTGAGTCAGTAAATCACGTGGCCGAAAGCTCGCTACAGGGCTCAATTAGAAAGCCCAAGGGACTACACATTGCACGACCATTATAAATTTTATATGTGGTCAGTGAATAGTTCGAAGCCTTTTTGAGTCGAGCCGGTAAACCACATGACCGAACACTCACTATACGACTCAATTAGAAAGCCCAGGGGACTACACACTGCACGACTATAACTATCTCGCTATCTTAATTGTTCTGCTCTTCATGAAAAAGCTACCATTGGTAGTGTGTGTATGCTAC